GTGCGGTTAGTAGGTGCCCAGGTGTGATTGGCTACTTCTTTTCTGTCAACTGTCTATCGTCCTCATCTCTTCTCTTCTTTTTTGTGTTTGTTAGTCTCTTGTAGCACCTCTGATCTCTGGCACGTTATTAGGATCTAACTGTATTGCAAGGGCCGTAGAAACGCTTACTAAAACAACAACAAAAATAGGTTTACACAAATAGGTGGTTGGCGGGTACTCTGGTGTGGTTTGCTCCTTCTTTCCTGTCAAACATCTATCCTCCTGATCTCTCCTCCTTCTTTTTTATGTTTGTTACTCTCTTGTAACACCTCTTATCTTCGGCACTTATATGACCTTGCTGCGTTGCAAGTGCCGTAAAACTCTTACTAAAACTTGCAAAAAATATCCAATGATTCTTTACGGTGGATTCCGCTTGCGACAACGCCCACACAGCTGGGCAAATTCTTGCCTGTACTGTGCATTGATTATAAAGTAAACAAAGATGTTGACAGATGAGTTAACATTCTGCAAAAGGATCAAAACTGACACAAACCCTTCAAACATCTCTCGGTGTCTCCCCACGCGGTTCAGCCCGGGCACTGTGAGAGTGGCTGTGAACATGACAGACCCAGGTAAAAAACAAAGGAGAAAAATGACGCAGATGGCGATGACTGTAGAGGCAACTCGCGAGTCGCGCCTGGTAATGGTGGCGCTGGTCCTGGTTTGAGATACTGACTGTCGCCATTTCGACTGGAGTCTCAGCTTGACCACATTTATTACAGTCATGATCGCAATGCCAAAGGAAATAATGTAATGACTCACTATGTTTTTGACTACGAGGAACGGCAGTTGTATTTTCCCCCAATTTTCCATTAGTTTTGTGCCGAGCAAAGTCGCATTTCTTTCTTCAGAGAATTTCCAAACCACTCGAGTTGTGTGTAGCATGATGTACTGACTAGCAACTCCCCACAAGAAAAGAAAACAAATGATAACTTTGATTCTCCGAACCGTGATAAGGATCTTCACTTTCATCGGCAACAGAATACACAGACAACGCTCAGCGCAGATAATGAAGGTCAAACTTTTGGTGATGTTGATGAAGACTAAATGTATCCAGGTCCCTGTGACAAACTCGATTTCCTCCGGTATAAAGGGTAAGTTGTTGGACTTGAGCACCAGGGGGTGGAGACAGATGGACGTCCACAGTGTTCCCAACAGCCCCAGGCAGTCCGATACAGCTAGCGCTAAAAGGCTGATGTTTACCGTCAGTCGTTTATTCATTCTCGAAAATACGATGATATTGATGAGGTTGGCGACAACTCCAAACAGAGACAAAGGACCTAGCAAGTAAACACGGATTATAGTTGATGAGAGCTGCGACACTGGTGACTGCAAGGGCATTGTCGGACTTTGACAGTTCTCGTCGTAATCACGACTGGAAGTTTCCATTTCCACTTTTTTTTCTTCTTGATTTTAACGTCTTGTGGCCTTACGGTCAAAGTGAAACCCCCAGCTTGTGGGTGGTAGATCAACTTGGACCTTTGTTCCTCGCTTATATAGACGGCCCTGTGTCTTTTTAGTTTAGTTTTAGTAGAGGTTTTATGGCTCTGTGTCTGACTTTGCCCTGTGATTAATATAGTCTAAGATAACTACTGGGTGGGTCCTTTGGTTTATAATCTCAGGAAGTTCTATTATAATTCGACGGTTCAGATCGAGAAGTCCCCGAGATCAATGCCACATTGTTTTTCTGAAGTCGTCTTTTTTCTATTTTTGCCGAGGTCGTAGATCTTTCTCCATCACATAATATTATTATTCTTTTCAATGTGAGGATCGGACTGTAAGTAAGGTAAGATAATTTATTACTTGAGTTGTGGTAGTAGATCATGATTTATCCTACGAGTAAAATTTTTGGGTTGTAATCACGAGTTTCAACGAGTGATTACAACTGGCAATTTCACAAGTAGGATAAATCATGGTCTACCACCATAACGAGAGTAATAATTTTTTTTTATACCAAACTGATATCAGCTAGCGAAAGACATCTGTACCAACAAAATTCAAACGGTCAGCCAATTAGACAACAGGATCCATTCTAGAGTCTCACATGAAAACATTTTCATTCCCGTCGGAGTCAGATTGAAAATTGGAAAAAATCTGTATTGTTTTCCTTTACTTTAGACAGTCTCTATTTAGTTTCAGTAAGAGTTTTACGGCGCTTGCAACACAATAAAGTCATATAAGTGCCGAAGATTAGACGTGTTACAAGAGAGCAACATACACAATAAAGGAGGAGAGACAAGGACGATAAATGTTTGATAGGAAAGAAGGACCAAACCACACCAGAGCACCCGCCAACCACCCACAGACTGTCTCTGGCTATCCGCATGTCTCCCTCCGCGAAACAATCCACAAACAAAACAACCATAACGTAAATATAGGCAAAATTTCTCTCTCTCTCTCTCTCTCTCTCTCTCTCTCTCTCTCTCTCT